TTGACAAACCGACTGGTAGAGGAATTCCCACCCTAGTGCAGAATGGCTTGGGATAAAAGCCAATTTACGGATGTCGCCATTTTTTCAGCAAATAGTTAGCTAGATTTCTGAAAATTCGAAACCGCGGATGTCGTAAGGATTGCCATCATCGGCTAACAATAATTCAGATGACTTTTGTCGGTCATTTTACTCGCAGCATAGGGATGAATCCTGTGCGGCATGTAGACGATAATGAATGATAAGACAAGAAATTTGTTTAAGTAAAACTTCAACATCTCGGCGTGTAAAGCATATCATTAAGTTTGTGAAGTTAGTGAATGTGCAACGTGTACCAAGAGTGCCAGGTCGCCCGGAAAATCTGTGTGAATATTTCATTTTAGTGACGTTGCAACCTTGCGCACCTACACAAAACATCGATACGTATAGTTTATGTCTTAAATTCTGGAGTAGATCTGAATTTACAGTTTAAACCTCCAATTACGCAATTGGCAACCTTTCTACAGACTTTCATTTCCTGCATCCACACCAATTCAAACATAATTCGGCTTAGTAGGCTGTTAATTGGGCACAGTCAGGAGAACTGCTAATAACAAATACATTCAATAAAGACATTTAAAAAAACACCATGTTTTGAGAAATTTAGAAATTCGACACGTTGCGATGTTAACATTCATGCCAAAATTTTGGGTTCCAATTTGAGTTTCAGTAAAGGTTGTTCTACAGTTAAGTTCTAATTTCTTAATTTTTATTTCAGCAACTGCCCGAATGCTGTGGCTAGGGACAAGCAAAATCAAATATAAAACGATCAATGAGATACTCATACTGAGGTGTCATACGCAAGCGCCTTCAAAAAACAGATAATAGTTTCTTAAAATTTATAAGTAACCTTTAAATTACCAAAAGCGCTTGGATTATCCGGTGAAACTTTTTAGTTATCACCAACATAACTTTAAATATTTTTACGAGACTTTCTCACGCATATTTCTGTAACCAGCTACAGTTTAGGCATTTTAAATCAAGTGATTCTTCTTTTTTAAAAAATGAAGGCGATCACTGGTGCTGAAAAACTGAAAACATGCAGCAAGCTGAAGGAAATCTTTGTTGATTATGTGGATAAATTTCCGACCGACGCTCAGCCAGTTTTCATTTAGCAACGTCATCCCTTGAACAATATGCCACTGGGCACTGTCCAAAGATTCGAGCTGTACCTTCGCCTACTTATACTTAGCTTTAGGTACATTTTTTTGCTTTGCATAAAATCTGCGTCTCAACCTCATGTGGGAAATAAGGTCCAGTGGGCAGGATATATAGCATGTCTTGCTTATAAAAAGTGGACATACTGTATCGCTGAGTAGTACCTGCGAGAAAGTAAATAACTGTCTGGGCAACCCCTTGAAAAAATGGTGCACATGTCACAAACAGACGACAGGAACCAGTACTGAGTATGCAAACCTGACACCGAGGCGCCATACACTCATGTACACGTTCTAACATGAGTGTCCTAGCTGCCTTTTTACTACATGTAAGGTATTTGTCGTTATGAG